GCGAGCCAGCATATTGGCCTAATAATCCCAAATAATAAGGCAATATGAATGTCATTGGCATGGGGTGGGGTAAATTTTTGGGGAAGCCAAGTGAGAGGGGATGTCCTTTTTGGAGGGCAATTATCTAATGCATTGTGCTATTACAGTGCAGGGTATAATTTTACAAAAAATTTAATCAAACTTTAAATGTTATCTGTTATCAATACACACGCTGAAAGTTGCATTTCCCAAGAGGTACGCTCTCTCTCTCACTCACTCACTCTCTCTCACCCCAAATAGCATACATAGCACGCTGCTTATGGTGCAGGTTAGGAATCAAAGAAGCATTCACAAGCTCAATCAGAAGACGATTGAAGACATTTGCATAGTAGCAGTGGTGCATGTATCAAATAGGCCTCCATACTTCATAATGCTTGGCCAAATGTTCATAACACAACATCACTGAAGACTAACAACTGAGTACCCGACCAACAGAGTATAGACAATTATTCAGGTAGCCTAACCTGGCCCAGTGCCCTGTGGCAGGTGCTGTCTGTGGTGCTCATTATCTATGCGTACACCCTATCTGAAAAGGAAGGCCATTCTCCTGTCTGTCATGGTGGTGAAGTGGTCAATAACCAAGTTATAGAATTTACCACTGGCTTCTAGGTCAACCACAACAACAGAGTCAGTTGAAGTTTGGCGCTACCAGCTAGCCACACTGTACGGATATAGTTTTCCTCATTGAACATCCAAAACCCCTTTTTCTCCACGCCCAGCTCAAGTTTTGCCGTTGGTCTTCCGTCTGATTTAATCTTAAGTTGCTGCTGTAGTGGTAGTTTAGTAAACTATTAATTATAACTAAAAACTCCAAATCTCCACCCTCCATAACTGCACCAGCTAAAGTTGCTAACAGCTCCCGTTATTTCATCTGAATGAGTTGATTGCATGCTGTGATTTGATTGGCGTGAAGCCAGACAGCGTCAGACTGAAAGCCAGTCAGGGGCTCCAGTGTTCGTACGCTTAGCTTGCTGTTAGCGATGGTGCTAAACTGTTGCTATCTGCAGACTATTAGCTCTCACACACAGTACAATACACAAAACTGTGTAGCAGTGTGACAACTTATTATAAACTAGCCAGGCTACTGTCTCTGTACATTAATTAAATTACACTTTCTTCTGCAGCTTGTTGCTGCCTCCACAGAAAACCGTTATGCTCCGCTCTGCTCTGCCTGTTAGTCCCGCAGTTTTAGAAACGTGATTGCCATCTACATGGACGAATCAAGAGGCCTCTCCTAAAATAAACATCATAGTCTGTCACAGCTCAGGGTCAGAGTAACTAACCCTGTCTTAAAGTGACAGAGCCTATTATGACAACACTTGCATGCTGCTATTCACCTTTTAACTCAAATGCAGGTTTTACATAATATATACAGTATATAGCATTTTATACATACTCCGTGCCAGGGGGGGCCACTGGGGTATTTGCTATTGCCCAATAGAGCATGGGGGAGACTGAAGGGAGAAACACCCCGAAACAAACAAGAAGTGAAAGAAGCTGTGGTAAAAGCCTGGAATAGCATCACAAATGAAGAATGCAACAGTTTGGTGATGTCGATGGGTCGCAGGCTTGAGGCACTTATTGCAAGCAAGGGTTATGCCACCAAATATTAAATGTTATTTAGGGATCCAAGCAGCAAAGCAGCTGGAGCCCTATTGGTTTTGTTCTGATTATTCTTCGTTCTTTCTTTCTTCTTTTTCTCCGCGAAAAGTGGCAGCAAAAACTGCTGGACGAAAACTATATAACATATTTTGCAATTATCTTGAAAACGGCTTTGTATAGAGTCAGACTTTCATTATTTTAATCTCTGGATTAATCTGCATCTTTGCTCCAATTGTCTTCTTCTCTAAAAATGTCAAATTATGCAACTTTTTATCTCTTTTCTCTAAAACCTATTTTTGCTAACTCGTCCCAGACGGTTTTGCCAATCGACCTGAAACTTTGGCAGGATCATCTACGGACGTCGATGATCTGAAGCTATCAAAAGAATTTTGATACGTCAATCTGTTTTTTTTTTTCATACATTTTTACTTTTGTGTATTTACGTACAATTTTACAGGTTACCTGGTGGAATACTAGGATATTATTCCACTAGGGGGTGCTACACTTGCAAAAAGTTTATACCTCGTAATTCGCTGGATGTATTTGTACGAAATTCGGTTTGTACGATCTCAGGTCACTACTCAGTTGATGCATAAAATTTGGTAATGATTGCGCAAAGTGGGCGTGGCTTATTACAAGAAATGTGAATTTCTAGACATTTCTCATTCCAAATTTCAAAAAATATTTAAAAAATCATCCGTACGTCCTAGAGAGCTGGAATTTTTTCAGCACATCCACTGATATGTGACTAATGTTTGCCTCACTGCAACCTATGGTCAATTCAGAAGTCAGTCACTCTATATTTTTTAGAATATGCTAATTCAATTAACATCTATATCTCCACAAGTCTTTCTTCAAACGCTACCAAACTCGACAGAGTTGTTCTCCTGATGGCCAATATCAAGTGTTTCAAAGGGTTTTCAGATCGGTCAAACGGTGAGTCTGCAGTGATATTTAGTATCTTGCTGTACCTTGTAGTATGAACAACGTTTTCTTTTTTCTCAGTTTTGAAACAAATGCCACCAAAATAATTCACAACACACCCGAAAACAGCAGAATGATGCAGGTTTTTATCAGAATTTTCTCACCAACATCTTGGCAGTTGTAAGCGTTTTAAGTTTAAACTGACAAAACCATCCAGGTCTGGCGCATGTGACGTCACTACGTCAGCTTGTGAGAAGGTGTGTGGAAATAGCTTCTCACCAGTAGCTCAGTCAGTAAGTCACCTACTCTGGAGATCTGCAGGTCCAGGATTCAAATGACCGAGTCAGACTTGCTCACACTGCAGGTGTTAAGATCATTGCAGTTCTCTACTTTATTTGTATCCCGTGACACTTCCTTCCTTTTTTTCTCTGCCTAAAAGTGTTTGTGCAGCTTAAGCTTTAAATCTTGAAAACACAAAATGTCACAGGTGGGTTGAACTTTTCACCCAGTAGTCAGATACATATAATGACACTCTCTGATCTCAAGGTGATGCTGTAAAAATCAAGTTGGCGTTTCCGCAATTATGTCAAAGTCTATCATCACTTTAATCTCTTAAGTTATCTGCGTCTGTTCTTCTCCTCTGAAAATGTCAAATGTTAAGTTTTTATTTATATTTACTTTAAGATTATTTGTTCCATTACTTTTGCTCAACTAAGAATGCTGTCGTCTAATACAAATGGTGATATGTCCTAAGTTGTTTAACACATCTAGATGTGAATACCAGGAAATAAAAGCTGAAATTCTGAACTCTTGTCTCATACTCATCTTTCGATCTTAAACCCAGATGTCTTCAGTGAACAACAAAAACAAAGGAATTTGCCTTACCATTCCAATACTTTTGGAGTGGATGTCTTCCTTTTTCCTTTTCACGTTTTATCTCATTTCCTTTGATGGACAGAGTTAAAGCCCACAAGACCTGCTGGATACAATCTTTTTTGTACATAAGCACATCTACAGTACATTAGTAAAAACTGGGGAAATATTTGTATTGTAAAGATGATAAATGATGCTGTATGTTTTGTACACATGCCTTTGAACAAATAAATAAAAAATATATAATATATATATATCCTGATATTTAAAGATATTTTTAAAATGACTTAACTGCGTTCACAATGATCTACTATTATCCATCCCACTAGCCAATTGTATAGGCTATTCTCCTAATACGCAGTCACCTGCCTGACATCTTCCTGACCATTGACTACTCGAATTCAAATTGCTTGAAGTCCAGTGTAAAGTTTCCACAGTCAGTGATTTGGAGTGCCATGTCATCTGCAGATGTTGGTCCACTGTGTTTTATCAAGTCCAGAGTCAATGCAGCGTCTACCAGGAGATGGGGTATTGTCAAGAGAAAAATGAGACACCAGAACCAACAATACAAACAAGCTGTAGGCCGCTATGAAAACAACCTGGGTTTCCGTAACAGCCTGGCAGGGGACAATGGCCTCTTAAATGCAGGTCTTAACCACTGGGCTAGCAGGACACACCTTGTCAAATTTTTTATGATCAACTACAATCATGTCTGTGTTAACGTCTATTCCCACAAATAAAATTACAATTATGGGAGACACACTGTAAATGATAAGTGGATAGAAAGTAAAGAGCACCACATATACATACAAGGCAAATTTTTATGTTAACAGTCGGTGCAGAACAACAACACACTGAAGCAGCAGTATCATAAAATATCCCTGAAGAAAAAAACATAATATTCACACACACTGATTTACAATATGTTTAGACATTTAGAGAAATTAACTTAGCATAAATTCCCTGGTCCATAGTCAGTTAATCCTTACGCTTACCTTAATCCATCACTATCAGTAAGACTAAAAAAGAGTTTTGCCCACAGTTAAAGCAGCTGTATATAGGTGAAACCTTCAACCTAAGTCTATGCTCCACCTAACCTTCAAGCACTGGATATAATGGAAAAAACATGTGATTGACAGGTTTGGGGAGACAGTGAAGCATGAGGCAGAAAAGCAGTAGCTGGAAGTCTCTCATTTCTGTGGGATCCATACAAATGTGTAAATTCTTTCTCTGCATATTCATTCACAAATAGATAAAATTATATTTTAATCACACACTGTGTAATTTCAGATTGCTCTGTTGTTATCAGGCTTCAGGCAGGACATGCCGTCAGTGGGAGCAGAATGACAACGAGTTTATTCATTGTTGCGATTGCAGTGGATAACAATAACCTCACCTCTGGATGTCATTTCTCCGCAGACCCCCATGTATAATAACCTGAGCTCCATGATCTTCTGCCTGTGTCTGTCTCTCTGCTGTTCGCACACTCGCGCTCACACACGCACACACGTATGTGCCAGTACCTGATAAACCGTGTATAAAAATAGCTTTCAGCTTCTTACCCACATTTCGTAGTTTGCGGTTCCTAAGCACAGCCACAATGACCAGCAGGTTTCCCAGGACGTCCACCACAGTGGTGAAGATCAGCACGCTGGCCAGCGCCATGATTGCCCATGCAGGGCGCGCTTCCCCCTTGTCCGGCCCCGGTTCGTGTTCCGTCCGGTTCTTCAACAGCGACTCGTCTTCCGACATTGCCTCCCTTTCTCTTCCTTTACACCCCGTGGTCGGTGCAAGTGATCGCTGGCATGCTGTTTCACAGTGACAACCAAAAATGTTGTTTCACTGTTACAGCCAAAAATGTCAGTTGTGTCCCTCAGTGCAGGATTTAACCCCGCCACCCTGCTGCCAGTCTACCAGGAGCGGCCGAGACACCAGGGACCCTGGATGCTGAGAGCAGAGATGCGCCGCTCTTTCCCCTAGTATTTCCCTGCTGTGTCTCTCCAGAACTCATACACCCCATCACCCCCCACCTCCGCCCCTTTGAGGAGACTCAGAGAGTTGGAGGCAACTCTCTGAGTCTCCTCTTGCATTCCGTTGCGGTTCCGTTACAGCTGTAGGCTACTTTAGCGTAGGCTACACATGGCTTTGTTCACTGTGGCATATGACACATGAACACTAAATTCAGTTGTCCAGTGTTTGATTTATTTTGAAATGTATGATTTGTGAATGTAATATTTTTCAGAAAAGATAGAGGTATAAATATATAGGCTTTTCTTTACAATGAATATCAATCTTTTCATAAAATAATATAATATTTCTTTTTCGTAAATATCTAAAGTCATGTTCCTAAAGAAATATTCAACACAAACATAAACACAAAATGAATGACAAATTCTTTCAGTTTCGTTATTGCAAAAAACATCAATCCTGAATCTTAATACAACTGTTGTTTATTTGATACACATATTATAGTAGTAACGTCAGATCCTATTTACGCTGGGGGGAGAGGGGAGTTTGTCGGAAAGGTGGCTTCTTTAAGCAGCTTAGTTGAGATGGGGTCTAAGAAACAGGTTCATAGTTTAGATGAAGAAATCAAGTTAATTGTGAAAATCACTGGGAGAAGCATAGTTTGTCTGCACAAGGTACCAGATAAAGGTATATATCTTCTTAAAACAGGGTTGTAAAATGAGATGCAGTTTGAAATTCCCTTTACTCTACAAAGCAAACGATATATACAAAAATGTAAACATTTAATTTAGAAATTACCTATTTTACATGATGCAGTGCTGAATTTGAATGAAAGCCTAGGGGAAGAAGTTGCTTAGTGGTGCAACAGCAGATACTTCTGTATCTCTTATGGCAGGGTGAACAGGCTGTGGCTGGGTGGGTATTGTCTTTTAGAATCCTTTGGGCTTGGCAGGTACCTCACCTCACTGATATCACTGATGCTCAGGAGATGGGTACCAGTGATCTTCTGAGAAGTTTTAATCACCCTCTGCAGAGCCCAACTATCCTGGGCTGTGCACATCCCATGCCAGTTGGTGATGTTTCCAGTCATAATGCTTGCTATTGGTCCTTTGTGAAAGCTGACGGGAATTTAGCCTTCTTAAGTTTCCTTAACAAATACATTTGTTTTTTAGCTTTCTTCACCAGTGTGGAGATGTGCGATGACCATGTCAGGTTCTCTATGATGCTGATTCCCAGGAACCTAAAACTGTTCACCTGCTCCACCGATGTAGACAGGAGTGTGTGTGTCTTTGTTCAATGTCCTCCCGATATGAAGTCTTACCATTGTTTTAAATCCAGCCAGTGATTGTGGTGTTTCACAACAGAGTCCCCTCCATGTCTGGGGTTGCAGTCATGGGTGTACAGCATGAACAGGAGCACTAGAGTGGAGGAGGTGTGACCGCCAACTGACCTGTTTGGGGTCTGTTTGTGAGTTAAGTCCAACTGTCCCTGTGTAGTCCGTTCTAGCCTACCCAGGTGACCAGTTCCTTCCTCCCATTTACCTGTTGAACGAAACTTAATGCCATCTCCCCTGTAACCAACATCATCCCGAGCCCAGTACTCACAGTCACCCCAGTGTGTAATCACATACTGAACTGACAGTCTAGCGGCTTCTGCAGCAGTCTTTACCTCATGTTCACTGATACACATAGCATGGTGTTTGGGAACATAATTTTTAAACTTCTCCAAAATGACCAAATTATACAAAGTCTCAACCTTCAATGCAGTTCACCACCAATTAAACTGTCTACTCAGCTGGATTTAAATCATATAATGCACTTGCATTATATACATTAAATCCAATTAGGTTCAGACACAACTTTGTTAAACTAATACTTTTTAACAATTGTCAAAGTTGTGTCATTTAAAGCACAAATCTTTTCAACCTGCTGGATGGAATGCGTTCTCTGACCTTCTACTGTGATTGAGCTTGCATTTGGTCTCTATGTTGAAACCCAGTAAATGCAGGGAGAGCTGAAGAAAGCCTTGCTTCTGGGCAATGGTGCGAGATGTCACTTGTCGACCTTTAGTTGCAGTCTCCCATCCCACCAGAGAGAGTAATTTCAGCACCCTGCTGACCATGTAAGTTACTGCAATTACCTTATATGTTTATGCTTCTATATAACCAAATACATATTCATAAGATTTTCTAGCTGCGTATGTATTTCATCCATGTAAAAAGGCTGGAGTGGGGCCGATAGAAAATTGACCCTGTCCTCACACTCCTTGTCCAATCGGTGACATGTCTTTCTGTGGCAATCCCTGGAAATCAAATATTTTTTATATTATAGACTTAAATAGCCTTGTTGAACAGGCAAAAATCTCAGTGTACATGATTGACTATGGAATGATGATCTAATAAAATGATTAGAATATGCTGGGAAATCTATAACCTGGCAACGCTGTTCCTAATGACCAGTAGGTTAAATTGTCAAAACACAAATGACTGAAGCCTGCTTATTTTTAAAAGGATTGCTGTATTGTAACATTTCTGGTGTCATATTGAATCTTTTGACGACCTCATTTCATGAATTACACCTGGAACCAGAACCAGCTAGCATGACAGCTCCTAGGCTACCCTAACCAAAGCCACTATGGCGTGTACAGGGACACTGCAAAAAGACCCTGGACAGAGCGCACCTGTATTTAGATGACCGCTGGTCATCTGATCATTACTGTGGAAAAACTAAGTCGTGTAGGCTACTCTTACAATCTCACCCAGCACAGCCAGAAAAGTCTGGGCCCTCTCTCAGTTTCTTCATAGGTTTGGAACCTAAATGGGAGTTTTTCCTACCCACTGTGCAACCTGTTGCTTGCTCTACAGGGTTTCAGGTATAAGCACTTTGTGACATCTGTCTGCTGATATATAAAGGGCTATATACAATAAATTTGATTGACTGATTGATTGATTGAAGTCAATGTTGTTTTCACACTTTTAAATTATGCATGCTTTTTTTAAACAAAAAATGCTTCTTAGGTTGATATACCTAACATTCAATACAACAAAACATTCAAGCAAAATGTAAACTGCTTATCTCTGGCATGAATCACTGCTTACCTTTTCAGTCACAGCTAATTGGCTTGAGTTGAACCTAATACTAGCTAGCTCAAAGTTTTAATGTCCATGTGAGGCACAGTAGCTAACTAACGGGATAACAATTTAGCTGTCTTTCTCAACCCTGAGGTCTGGAGGCAAATCGACACAGGGGCAGACGTGAAGATCATCTGTGAGCAGACCTACCGCTCACTGATCCCCAAATGCCCACTGAAGCCTGCAGATATTACACTGGACAGCCCAGGTGGCGAGCTGGAGTGCATAGGACAAATCCAGAGCACGGTGACACACAAAGAAAGACCTACCCACTCAAAGCATATGTCATTCAGGGACGCACTGCAAACAATCTACTGAGCAGACCACTGTCTGTGGAAATGAGGCTGGTGAGGAGAGTGGACGAAACCGTGAGTAGCAGAGGACATTCACGAGCATATGGTGAGCAAAGACTAAAATATTTTTTTTGTATCAAGTCTAGGAAGTGTTTGTCAGGGTACTGTGTGGTAAGGTGTTTGTCTGGAACATGTCCACCCCAGGCCTTTGACACAAAGCAGATGCTACCTTGTGGCGTGATTGAAATAAGAAATGTAATAGTGTTATGTCGTTTTTGTAGTTGCTCCATGTTTGAGCTCAAGCTTTTAAATCTAAAGGATGCCCTATGAACAACTGAAAGCAGTCAATTATGCTCACACAGTTCTTAAAAAACATCCAAACCACATTGGTAAGCTGAGTCTTAAGTCTTCTCTTTTCGGCCACAGTATCAGGGGATGAAGCCTGCTTGCCATTACCTGTACGCAACAGTGAAAGATTCTTGATACTGTTGACAGCTGAATCCCAAAAAGGTAACCTAAGAATTCCTAAGACAGACTGAGGTGTAGCTTTATCAGTGTAAGAAGTAGTTCCTGAGTAGGCTTGAGGGACTGTTTTGCAGTAGCAGGAAAAACTGAATACACATACTAAACACTGTGCCGTTCAGACTACACAACTTGCGGTCATTGTGGTATTCACACTACGTGACTGATCGGTGACAGGGGGTCACACACTACATGAGCTGACAGCGGCTGTGTCTCCAAATCACGTTTTGTCAAGAAAACACACGTGAAATGTGAAACGAAATGAGGCGAACCTACACACGAAACAGCTGTTATTTGTTATTATAAAGTTACCAATTATAAAGATAAAAAATCTGGGTGAAAGAATGGATTAGCAAAAGCAGGTAGCAGGGATCGTCTGAGCTATAAAGAGTGCTGGAGGTGAAAAAGTAGCTGCCTGCTCTGCCAGCTGCCTGCTCTCATTGGCTGGATGTGGATGTCGAGTCGGCTGACTGTTCCAGATATTTGGAATGACTGATATCTGGCAGACATCGGCAATGTGTCACAAATGTGTCGGGGAGCCATTTTGATGTGTCGTTGTGTAGTTCACACATAATGACTGGTGACCACCAATCGAACGCTTTACTCTGATCACAGCCTGACAGTCGCCGGCTCAGCAAATCAGGCTAAAAATCATGTAGTGTGAGCTAGACTTTATCCATACAAGCTCGCTGGAGCCAATCCTAGCTGACACTGAGTGAGAGGCATTTATGGATGCTAATAATCAATTCAATTCAATTCAATTCAATTTTATTTATATAGCACCAAATCACAACAGTTATCTCAGAGTGCTTTTCATAAAAGAGCAGTGCTTTTCATAAAAGAGCAGGTCTAGACCATACTCTGTGATGTTATTTACAGAAGCCCAACAGTTTCCACCAAGAACAAGCACTAGGCGATAGAGGCAAGGAAAAATTTCCTTTAAGAGACAGAAACCTCAAGCAGAACCATGGCTCAGGGTGGGCGGCCATCTGCCTCGAATGCTTAGGGATGAGAGAGAGATAGATAGAGAGGCAGGGAAGGAGGCAGCCTACACA